ATTAAAAAGAGTAGCGGGCTGAGGATGGATCCTTACAACACTGCACAGGAGACTTACAATCCCTCGGAATGTGAATCGGTAATTCTTCCTGGGATTTTCTGTCCTATAGGTTACCTTCTAACCAGGTGAACCGGGAGACCTTAATGCCGTAAGCACCAAGTTTTCGGAGGAAAACTAAGCGATTGACTCTGTCAAAAGCTTCAGAAAAGTCTAACTAGATCCCATGTACGGGGACTCCTTCATCAGGCTGCGCTGATCCATGAGTCCCGATCAAGAAGCAGATTGTCGAGGCAAGATCGTCTGCGACTGAAACCATGTTGAAGATTAGAAATTATTTGCAGACTTCCAAGATATCGTGTCAGTTCAGCTGCGATAGACGATTCCGCCAATTTTAATAAAACAGAATGGAGAGTAATAGGTCCGTAGTTGACGTGATCCGACAGCTTACCTCATTTGTATATCGGAGTGATAATTCCACGTTTCCACTAAGATGAAAATGTATGGGAATCAAGCAGATACTGGAAAAATAGGCTGCAAGAGGCGCTGCTATGGTGGGGGCAAGGGTTTTAATAACCATTGGGCAGATCTTGTCGATTCGCAGATCACCGTTTTCTCGGACAGACTGTGATATAATTGTGACAGTTACTGGGGTCAATGTAACGCTGGATAAGCCGGTGACATTTGATGTAGGGAGGGATGGAGAAGCATCTCCGTTTTGTAACAGGGGAGCCAAAGTGAAAACATAGGCCGTTTGTAGTATCAGCGGTAGTTGTTAGGACACTTCTGTCTTTACTAGTGACAATCCTACCTTAACATTCTTGGTTTTGTTCACATACTTGTAAAGCAGTTTCGTGCTAGTTGTAAACATGCGTATCATGGCATGGTATCATACCATTAACGCTTCATTGGTCAGGATTAAGGCCAGAAGCGATGAGCGTTAGAACCATAATGCTTGGTTGTTCGATCCACATGGTTATACACAACTGTGAAATCAATGAATACAATGTTTTGATTTGAATGATGTCCCACTGGGGGACACTGATACTATTGAAGGTACATTGAAGTCCACTGTTATTAGGTGGTGCGAATACTTTTTGTAAGAGCATCACCGCTCTCTGCGGAGAAATTCGGTGGCCTGTAGACACTTGCTAAGAGGCAAGCATCACACGTCTTCTTCTGTGATTCACCGTCTCGATCTGCTAGTGCAGCTGTCCAATTGAGCCTCAGGAATAACAGGGGAAGTTTCGATAATGTTCACGTTGCATGTAATAGACCGTAATAGACGATAATACCGCCATCGTGAGATGGACCATCATCCCGAATAACTGACATTTCACTGAATTCCATATGCGGATCTAATATACTGTTTGAGAGCCAAGTTGCAGTCATTGCTATGATGTCTCAACTTGTTGTTTCATGTCGATGGCACAGTTCGGGCAGCTAGGAGTAGACCCTTTGAGTGTTCGTGTGGCATCGTTGTATTTGTTGATGTTGCGGGAACGGGTAACCCCGAAAAATGCGCCACCACCTCCTGTGCGTGAGATGCGCCAAGCACTTCAATTCCTGCCCACAAGGTAGCAGGATCCAGCCAGTCCGAGTCTAAAGTGAACCACGTGCCCTACGTGGCGCCTCATTTCACCCAAAAAATGTACTATTGTGCCAACTGATTCGGCCTTAGTGGGTCGTAAAAGAACTCAGAGGTCTGCTTCGTGTCCCCTCTTTTTCGTGCGCTGGCTCGGATCGCGTGGTCACGTGATCGTGTGTGTCGTCTTGGCCCGTTGATGCGTGTGCATATAAGTCTCTCGCGTCCAATCCCCCGGTCGTGTGCGCATGGTTGTCCGTTCTCGAGGGCTCAGCACGTTACCCGAATGCTTGCGTGGATATGGACCGCGCTCAGGTAACGCGACCAGGCCTGTGCAAATCCATTACAGTTGAAGTATTTGGAGCTCACGTCACTGTGCTAGACCCTCACCGTTGTTGCTAGTCTGCTGATGTTTTCGGTATTGGTGTTTTCGCGGTTGATTTATCTGAGGTCTGTACAACAGGGCGTAATATATCTGTAGTTTTTTCCTGTAGTGCTTGAAGGCATAGTCTTAATCGTATGTCCGTTGGTTTATATCATCTGCCATACTACGATTGCGTCATCACTGGCGTCATGTTAGGCCTAGACAAGGTAACTTCCAAAGTTTTTGACCCGTGACCGTGATAGTTTACAGAGGTAGCAAGATGGTTAACGTTTAAAGTCACCACATTTTGTATAGTATAGAACTATGATGTACCTCCAGTCTGCTATGTCATGTATTTGTTGCTCAATTTAGTCGTCATGCTTCAATTCTGATACACAATGGATCAGTATCACTTTCTTTGTCTCCGGGCTGAACGAAATCTGGTCAGAATTTCGCTTGTCTTTCTGCCCAAGGCTTGTCCGGAAAAGTGCGGGCACTGACAACTGAGATCACTAAAATTGGGCTCGCTAAGGGATCGTTATCCAGGTCCCATGTGTTGCCAAATTATACCCGCAGTGACGGAGGTTTCCCTGCATGCTGAGTTGAATTTCGGCTAATTGGGAGGAAATTTAGACAAAGTACAAAGTTTATCTCGGTCCAGCAATTTCGTTCCTTGACTTGTTTACAATTTAACGCTTGGCTACTGGGTTCGGAAACCTTTAAAACATATCCCCGTCAGCCCCATTCGATTGCGTATTGACTGCCTACTATACCATACATTTTAAGTGGAGATTTCTTTTGTGCGACCGGTTGTCTTGTGTGCAAGACAAGCCATCGCCACAACAAATCTGCTCATGTGTAACACCCTTGGTCGCACTGCCTGTGGGGGTCAACTGTGTTTGCCCTGCTAATAAGGGAGTCTGTGGTGGTGATCGCTTAATTTGTGCGCAGCTCCTCACGTTTTGCGGTAATTCATGAGACTTGGGAGACCGCTTAACCGGCTTGTCATCACTTCCGTTTACCACCAATGGGGTTCACTTTTCACTGGACTGTGTAATATTTTTGCTAGATAGTTCTAGTTTTTTGACAAACCTTAGGTTAGGGTCACATATTGCGCGAATTCGCAGCACTATTTGAGCGACTTCCCCTTTCTTTTGCTCTTGTGATTTCGCCGCTAAACTCTCACACTGAATATTGGTTTGAGTAAGCCTAACTATGGGATTTTTCAAGCGCTACATCACAAAAGCACAAACCATGTGTAGGTGCACGGTGCTTCCTGTCGCTCTGCGGATTCGCGTCTGGTCTTTCAAAGTCCTTGGCACAGAGCGAACATGTGATTCGTGCCATCACTTGACACTTGGTTAAGTGCGACGCTACTAGTTGCAAGTGCTGACACTCAATAGGCTAGCAATTACAATAAGCGGCCTGACTTAATGTCTACTGTGAATAACTACAACCAATGGAGAGCAGGTAAGTGAGAACAATGAGCGGTGTAGCGCATGACTCACTGAGGGAGCGCATGTGCTCGGAATTCACTATCAGTCAAATAAGTGGACGGTTACAAAGGATAATAATCAACAAAATCTGAGGTTCTGAAATCACTGAACGAGTAAAATTTGCAGGTTTACTGTCTCAGCTACAACTAACGTTGTATTTGTACATACGAGATCCTAGTAACAAGCTGCGTCGTCCCATGACACAATGGTTGGTATGCGCTTGTACGGTCGCGTTCACGCGTGGTTCATCCATGACGAAATTTTACGTTCTTGAGCCAATGCTTGTTACTTGCGCGTATTCGGATTGCAGCGTTCGTATGCAGCGTATCGCCTGTCATCTGGGTGAATGGAGCAACGTCGTTCGTCCGGCAAACCCACGCATAAAGGTCGACACGGTGTATGCGTCAGGCCCTTCTTCTGGTCTGTGTACCGGCTAATCTGGATTAGCGGTCCAATTTCGGCTGAGGAAGATTTTCCACAGCGAAAATACAGTATAGATGCAATTGCCTAAATCCGGTAACTGCGAAATACCTGCAGTTTCCAAACGAAATCTCCGACTTTTCCACTCAGGCACTTGTTGAAAGCACTAAGAGCGATCTCTGGAGCGATCTCTAAACATTTAGGTATGCACACGGAGATTGAGGTAACACCACGCGTGCGTTCCCGCAGGATTTACGCAACTAATGCAGCGGCTTGTGCAATGGCGATGTGGAAACCATGAGCCCGTAAGTGTAGATCTATTGCGTGGGGTCGGTACTTCAGGTCGGATGAATGTAACCATGTCAATGTGCGACGGGTGGATGAGGAGTAACCCCGTCAAGACAGGTGATCCAAGAAGGTGCGATTGCCCGCGAGGCTCCACATATACTAGGTACAATTGCTATGCCGATAATTCATATCGACTAGGAAAAATGCAAGACGGAATTATGCGAATTCAGTATTTATGAACACGTTGACCTCGGTGCGACATCCGTCCTAAGGTTTTGGGTTGTAAATGTTTTATTTTGTATTTTCGGATCCGGTTAATATGTCATCCCGGCAAGCGGTGTCCTCACCTTGCTCTACTCTATTATACTTTCTCGCTTGTTTCTTAATTTAGGGTGGTATTACAGGAACTGCGGCGTTGCGAATAAAAAGCACGTAGTGTTATACATTCCTAATTTGTGTGGCTTGTTGCAAACTATACGTTAGGCGACCAGCCTTGATGGAATTATCTTAAGGTCTGAATGCATTGTGACACAAATCGCCTTCTTTTCTAACTGGTCTTGCCGTAACCCGTTCAGGATTTTTTCACCCCTTTTTAACACCGTTTCAGAGAGTATTGCGTCTGCGACAAGATTACAAAGTTGTGTGTTAGCAGCACACTGGAGTTTCCTTTCCTATTATCATTTCGATGGCTCTTTTTGTTCAAAATATCCAAGAATTTTTTGTGTTCATGTATACTTGCGTAAGACTACTATAACTGGGTAGCGGAAAATTTTTTTAGTAGGCAACAATGAGTCTAGCAGTTGATATATTTTGCATCTGACTTCTCTGTTTTACTCCATTTCTCTAACAGGTATTCAACTCGAAGGCGGAGTTTCTTTTTCGATTTGCTGAATACGGCTATCATCCAGGTCAATTGATGAGACCGATGGATGTGGCAGAGACCATCAACGGCAATTACCTCATCTCTGACTTCGAACTACACTGCGTCACAGTCTACAGCCCCACCGGTGCTTATATATCAAGGTTTGGACAGCGATATCTCGCCGGACCCAAAGGAATCATAGCCGATAGTCGCGGTCGCATCATTGTTGTGGATCAGAAGTCATGTATGATTTGCATTTTTAAGCCCACAGGGAAGTTTATCAATCGATTCGGTACACGAGGAAGCGGTGACAATCAATTTAGTAACCCGGGTTATGTCGCGGTTAATTCCGCGGACGAGATATACGTGTCCGATTATTTGCAACATGCGATCAAAGTGTTTGACCCTAACGGGTTGTATTTGTACCGATTCGGGGTGCACGGCATGGAACCCGGATGTCTACACTCTCCGACTGGCGTCGCCTTCGACAAGCAGGATAACTTATATGTGAGCGATTGGGGCAATAATCGCGTGCAGGTGAGTGAAGTCTGATCATAGTTGAGCATACCAGCCGGTTTGCTTCATTTGTGTCTCAATTGTTACAGTGTGGGTAGACATCATCTTAACGCCGACTGGGAAGGGTGTTACGAGTTACTAAAAGAGGGCAGTTAGAAGGGATATCAGAAGGGAAATTTCCGACGGACTGATACCTAATATTCAGAAATAATAACAACGCCGAAGAGCACATAAAACAGCGGTGGATACGCTCCGTTACACTCTGTGCGCAAAACCCTATACCATAAGTTGTCTTGTTCGCTCTATCTTCAACTTTCCTTCGGACTGACTTGGAACCTAACGCAACACAAAGTTAGTTCGCAAAGCCTCACGTCGAAGTACAACCATTAAGTAAATTTGTTGGAACCAATCCTATTTTAAGGTTTATCAAACCCGTTTACTTCGTCTTGCTGAGAAGGAAAACAAGCAGGCTGCTAAGTTTACGCGAAGTGGGAGCCACTCCTGAAAACAACGACACAAAAAGGACAGCTTTGCTTCTAACCCCTGGTCTAAATTAGTTCTCCTGTTCTCATGACTTGGGATGGTTATTTGCCCAGTCAAGAGTAGCATACACAGCTATTTCGGTGCCGTGCGCACATTCATATGGAGTCTTTGTGGTACAACGCCATTTTTGCTCAGCTAAGGTGTATTGCAGGGAGAATATTTACGCTGTTTCGCCAATTGTAGCATCTTTTATCCCTATACAGGTTGACTAGCTTCATATGATTCGGCGTATTAGACAGCTCACAGCAGCGTGGTTAGAATACAATGTTATGTGGGACGACATAATCGCAGCGCTTGTGTACAGCGGCACAAGAAATGGATATGAGAATGGAATACTTCACTATCCGCTTTCCCCGTACGCTGAGTTGAGGTCACTTGCACAACGAGTGCTTTAACCTGATCCTGTCTATACAGTAACTGTTGTGAAGGTGTTGTCTGCAGCGACTAATTGGTTAAGGAATACATGCTGCGCCTGGCATCCCAACGTCCGGAGTCCGAGTCGCAATTCTGCTATCTCTATCTGATGGGTGCAACTAAGTTCGAAACGCGTCCTGCAGTGCAGTGCAGTTAACGGGCTACACGTAACATGCAGCTGCTTCAGACGTGACTGAGACTCACCACAACGGGATCACGGTGCTGTTTAAGACTGCGTGTCGCAATCCACTCACATGACGCGTGCTTCAAAATGACCCCCACTTAGGAAATTGTGTTGTTACCCATTTACCCAATTATAGTGTCAACTCTACTGTCCACACCGGACTGGGATATTGGCTGTGTCAGAAACGTGCAGAAATGGTGTTTTGGGTCTGTCAAAAACCGTCTTCCCATTCCATATTGTCGTGGAAATTAAGGCCAATCTACAGCTACTGTGATAGGTGCCATGGAAAGCAATTTGTTACCTGCGTTTTGAAACCACCCATCTATAAAATACGATAGTACGAGTCATGCATGTGAGACATTAATTGTGTTGTTGTTCCGAAAAGAAACAGAATCATCACAGGTTGTGCTGAATTAGGAGTCCACCTCCGAACCCGGTTCTCCTCCACCAACGTTCAGCCGCTGCTCTAAGAAGATTTATAAGCTTGTGTTCCGATTTCGCAACTAAAAAGAGTGGGTGAAGTATCAGTTTAATCCCGTTTGGTTCCGTAATTTTTGCACGTGTTATCTACTCGTGTTCGAGCCTTGTAATGCAATGTGCATTCGGCTCTCTTTACGTGCCGCTATGTGTGACATGGGACATTTCGACACAATTCTAAGCATAGAATACCATTCAGCGGTTGACCTGTGAAACTGGAACTAGTGAGAACGGCTTTGGGCCTCATTTCAGGATGGCAGAAAAAATAGACTTGGAACATACCTTTTGAGATAACGCGAAGCTAATGGGAGGAACAGTTGCAGCAACGTCTAATGTACTCGGCGCATTTGGAACTACGTCAATTCAAGTGACCTATTAAAATGGCCTTTTGGAGCGAAGCAGATGGGTGATTAGAAATACCTACAGAGTAGACGGCGAGAATATGCCACCCAACTCAGTCAGTTCTTTTAGACATTAAGGACGATAATAAGTGTTTTCCCCGGCGCGAAATGGATGGATGGACTTTACGAATCGCCCTTATGTACCATCACACACAGTATAACATTTGGCCCCTCAGTCCCTTGGAAATTACGTTGCATTCTGAAACTATTACCAAACCGATACAGCTTGAGTACTTTGCATACATGGTTTTATCTGGAGGTTCTAAAGGAGTTAGTGAACGGTAAACAACGTATTTTACGGGTAAAATTATCAACCACTGTCAACGGTTTGGTCGCAATGCTTTAGGAGTGCACCGTCCGTCGCTTAGACGTCCTAACCTATTCGCGGCTCTTTGGACGCGTAAACGTGCTATCGTTGTTATTTCAACCGGCTAAGGAAGGCTTTCCCCACTTTTGAGCCACATTCGCATCGGTGATCGACAGCGTTAGGTCCACATCCATTCACCGGTAAGCGGAGTACATTTAGTTGAGGCACCCCAGCTGCGAAGTGCCCGCATTCCCGCTACTGTTTGGACACAGTAGCATGGACAAGTGGAGATTTCCTTCGACTATTTGTATGCAGGCCCGGGCAGTAGTTACTCGTTTCAATTTATGCACTTCGGTTATTCTCCTCTGAGCAGGACCTTTTCGCACCCGTACACCGCCTCTTTCTATAACCTTAGTCGGACTAGCACGGCCGGTGGCTTAATTCACTTTCTCGCCCGCTCTGCCACCCAGCCAATCGCGAACTGATTATAGTACAAACGGAAAGCAGAGTGGCAGTCCATTCACGGATTGGCCTATTTGTCCAGCTGATCAGGCTGGAATGAGGAAAGGAGACGAGCGTTTCTCATCCTGCAGCATAAATCCAACGATTACCACATCCACACAACGCTCAACAATGCAGCTGTCGTAAAAAATCGAAGAAAATCGGTTTTTGACGAAAGAAACTCGTAGATCAATTGTATGAACATTGCTCTCACCGAAGATTTAGCAACTAATGGGAGGAAGATACTGTTTTGCACCAGGCAGAATTCATGTGGAGTAAAGAAATAAGAACCGTGCGACAGCAGATGTGGCGGTTGTTCCAAAGTTGAACTCGACTAACCGCGATGACCGAACATGTAGTGAGTGCTCACAGACATGATACAAGTAGTGGGGAAGAATTAAGGCTGTAGCAGTATCCTATCTCGTAAAGTGAGTGAGTAAGCATACCGATCGCCATGTGGACAACAATGTGCATGGTTTCTAGTGCCTTTTAACAAGTGGATGATGACTTACACGAATATAAGTAGTGTGCGAATACATAAAAAATATGTTCCGATCCGTTACGCGTCGGAGACTTTAGGTCATGGTGTCCAAACTTTTGGGTTAAAACTATGTCGGGCCATATTCAATCTGATATTAAGATAATAACAAAACTTACACGTGTCATTACAATTTGTATTGCAGCTTCTTAATGTGAAGGGTGAAATTGAGAAGTTGATATATTTATTACTTGTTTTGGTTAAAATTTAATGCCTCTACTAACAGGGATTAGTAGAGGCATTAAACTGACTTTCCCTAGTTGGTTAAAAGTAACCAGTACAGTATTGATTTTTGCTAACATATGACACCATTTAGTTTTTACGCTAACATCCTTAATTTTTTGTAATCTATATAATATGGTCTGTACGACAAATATCCAAGCCTGAATTTATTATTTCATGATGAGGCCGCGAACCAGTTGAAAGTTTAACGGGGGCCACATTTGGCTAACGGCTAGAGTCTGGACACTCCTGCTTTAGGTCAATACACAGCCTTGATGGCGAAGCAAGAGTTGAATACCGAAGTATTCATAAGGTCTGCGAAGGTGGGGATGTTAGAGAAATCATGCTTTGCAAGGAAGTTGAGTGTCGTTCGTTGTGCGCAAGCTCTTTACTCTATTTTCTTACGGCTTAGCCTTCGCGTGTACTTGCGCACTTTACCAGTGCCTCGTCGCAGCTAAGATTGCGGGTTACAAATACTGGTCAGTTTACTGAAGAGGCGGTAGGACATGTACCAGTGAGGAAGAAAGGGAAGACCAGCACACCTTCCTAACCACCGCTTCCCTCTCCCTAACAAATAAGGGGCTGTCAGGTATAGAGACGTTTGCTGACTATGCATTGCTACAGGCAGCGAACAAGAGGCGATCCGATGGACGTAACGAGATTTAGAAGCCAAATATGAGCTGTTAGTGCAATCACGGACCTATATAGTGTATGCGTAATCCGCGTCGGCTTCGTCTACCAAGGAAGCAAAACATCAGAAGCGTCAAACATGGGAACGGTTAGGTAGCGGAGGCGGTTCCATGCAACTAAAACATCAATTAGTCTGCGCATTGGGTATTTAACTCCATGATTAGTTTTAACGTAACAATTTGGGCAGACCCGGGTAGTTCAACCGGTGGTATGGTGACAGACGAACTAGATGCAATGGATACTGTGTTGATAGTACACACTATTTCTAGCAGCTCATTCTAAATGACTGCTTTTCTCTGAGTTGTGCGCTTGACATCACGTTCGAAGGTTTTCGGGTCACCTTTGTTAACCGCACAGCGTACAGTGTTGTATTAGTACAACTTAGTGTTGAGCATGTACTACATAAATAAAGATTTTGGCGCATGTTTTCTTCCGCTGTGAAATTACACTGGACCACGGAATTCTGGATGCTTGATCTTGTGTTTGATTGCTGAGGTGCCTAAAACGTAGATTGTCATTGTGGCGCCCAAATGCGTTTGATCGAACACCCCAAAGGTGCAGCCGTGGTCCCGATGTGACGCACGTCCCAACGGTACTTAGTACACGTATCAGAACGAGTGGAAGAGACTTTCTGGGTGTTTTTACACCTGCACATTAGCTATAGTTTCCATCTGGTGACCCAAACGCTCTGCAGTACCCTAATATAATGCTGGAAATAGTGCACTTGATGTTTGTCATCGAAGTATAGACCACAGTCAATGGTCACGACTGTAGAGCATCCGACTTAAGCAGTTAAAATCCCGAGAATCCGCGTTTTACTATTTCGTAGGACAATCCGACTAGGAACTGCTTCTAGTTACCCGGTGAAAATGTGCACATAAGTGTGGGTATGGTCAGTGTCCTTGGAAGGGAAGAAGAACGGATTGAGGCCTGAGTACACACGATGAGCATGGGCGTCGCATATTGCGTGTCGGAAATATGCCTAGATACCTCCTATTGTGTCTGTAAACGTTTGAGGATAACTTCGCACCTGGTGACCAGATCTCACCGGTGTAACATCAAACCTAGCGCCCACAGGACGAACATAGTTAAGCAGAGGCCTCCGCTTCTAGCACCTGCACGCAGAATCGAACATGGCTCAACAGAAAACCAAGATCAAGATTAAACTTGTTCTCCTGTGGGAAGCATCACATAGGATTGTTCCTTCCGAAATGTATAAAAGTTGGAGGTAATTTTGATTTGAATCGAGATGTCTGATGTGACAGACTTTAGGATCGCTGGGCTGGGCATTAGACAGTTCCTGAAGGTACATTTCGTATCCTGGTGGGATTATTTCAATGCATGTAGTTGGACCACTGACAGGACTACGTGAACGTATGCGCATTTGTCCGAAAATGAGGGGCGAAGATTACTTAATGTGACTACCTGAAGGAATATCCTTCTGAGGAAGAGCTACTTGTGTGCATCAACGGACTGTGTTCACAGAAGGCTACAAACTAATGGCTGTCGAGTATGAAAAGCCGGTTCCCCCATAGCCATGTATGAGACGATGAATTCGATATCATATTTACTAATAATCTCTGGTGAACGACAGGTGCATGATGAAGATCACCAAAGCAAGCTTTTCGAGAAGTTAAGATTGTTGTTCTACTCTCCTAAGCTTTAAATATTTTCCATACTCTGTCTTGACTCCAAAGTTTCTAAGCACATCTATTCTTCCCTCCTATTTATACTATTAACCTGTTGTTTCCCCCGGACTTGGAAGCGATTATATGTTATTTCCGCACCAACTGAACTCCGTTTCCCGATTTTCTGAACTGTGGAGAGTCTCCTACCTTGAGTTCACCTTTAATAAACATTTCGACGCATCTACCATTTTTAATCTCCGACCCTAAATGACCCTTAGTACTCACTATACATCGTTCTTTTCAGCACCTCTATTCCTTGTAAGCGGTTGAAATACGAAGTTTTACTTTATCTTCCTTCATCGTATCGTGTTTTCATCCACCACACTTACTGATCAACTCAGTAGAGGAGGTTTTACACTTTAAGTGACAGTATGTGGCAGTTTAAACGCATGTTTCGTCGTTTTTCTATTCAATTTGATTGCCCAACTGAACTTTTGTTTTATCCACTGACAGCGTAAAATGGTGAAAAGGTGAGCATTTGTGTTCTTTAGGCTTATTTTGATTTGTCCTGTCTTGTATTGTTCGTGAACTGTATAAATACCACGCATCTGGGCCGTGGGTTAAGCGTGGACCAACTACACTAATTCGCTTATCATATCTCTTGAGATAACAAGTGTGCCATGGGCTTCTCCATTTAGACGGATGTCACTTGTGTTACTCCTGTCTGTCATGGATTAATTCAGAACGAAACGATGACGCTGATTCGCCAATGCAGTGAGAGATTCTAACCAGTTGGAAGACTGCGGCTCAGTCATAGCTAAAGTGAACGAGCCAAACTTTCGAAATGGGCACGAAACATACTCTACGCTTCATTGGATCAAAACGAATGGCACTACTGTCGATCCACGTAAGGGAAGAACTGCTGTCCAACCGCATTCCGGGCAGATTGAGCCCAATTGTGGTGTGTCAGATTTAACTGATCACATTGTGGTTAACGCAAGTAAGGTTTATTGGAATAGGTCAGTTGGGTCATGTTGAAAGACGAATGGTGAACGCTCTCAACGACATCGTTCGCGTTACAGACTTTTCAGCTTCTCATCCACAGACCTGGCACGAAATAGTTGGTGGTATCGGTCTTTGAAATTGGCATGTGTTGCCGTTGTTAACAACCGCCGGGTGCTTGCATTGGGTCATGCGTACATTGCGCTGCAAATTTGTGTGCCTAATTTCTGGGGCGCACCCAATGGAATAATACATGGAGGTATCGAGTAGATGGCATAGTTAGTTTGCAGCCGCGCCACATTCCAATAGCGTACCCAAGAGTAGCTTACTCAGAGGGACAGGCTACGGCAGTTTCACAACATCGCGTAGAGACTGCAGCTACCACGTGTGTCACGAGAGGATACATGACACTTGAGCTTATTCAATTCGCATGACGCGAGTGTCTGGTTACCATTTACTTGCTTAAAAATGAGAAACCACGAATACCAGATGTACACCGGGCGTTGACTTGTGCCATACTAGGACTACCCGTCGACCAAGCGCTGTCATGGAAGCTGCAGACCTAAACTTCAAACGCAACGGTTACCGCCCTCCTGTGGCCGAGATGGCTGATTCTGGAGAATTAGAACATCTTTAGCATTTACGTTGTGCTCCCTCGAACGTTATGCATCACAAAGTAGACGGACTTAAGGCATGTTACGTAGCATGTTCGCTCGTTCACTTATGATCCAGCTGCAACGACGATTTGTCAAACACGTTTCACCAGTCTTACTATTGATACAGAGGTGGATGGCTTCAAAAGGCTTTATGCACGTATACTTCCGGGAGAACATACTTGTCGCATGGGTTGTACCTTTAAGATCGGATGATGAAATATCAGTAGAAACAGTCTTCAAGAGATACTCGCGCTTTCAGTGAAGAGGCTGAGATACACAACACCTGACAAATGCACCGGCGTGTACGCTTGTTTATTTCACTACGCTAATTGATCCGTTCGACGGCGGTTGCCAGGTGGGTGGACCGATGTGCGAACGTGACTCTTAAAGTAACTCGTTTGCGTCAGTTTTCCAAAACCTCCTGTTGATTTTCACCTATAGTTGATTCGACCGGTTCCAAGGGAATGCAGCAAACTTGTCAAATATGGGTAAATTCCATTGTTACATGCTTGGTCCGTTGATGTGTCTATTCATGATTAACTTGAAGCGGAACGCTGTCTTTTACTGAAAAATCATGTCTTCTGAGTATGAACTTTAGGCGATACGAGTCCCCGGCTCTTTTTATCTTGTTTTAAGTCTACAGCTGAAGGAGGTTGAAGTTGGACCTTGGACACCATCTTAGTGATCGAAATGTCCGGATTTGGCTTCAAAGTGGATCGTTGTTTGGATTCTGATATCACGTAGTAGCTCGAACTTACGGAGTGTGTTCCATAAAAATCAACACTGAAAGCGGTTGGCGCCTGCTGCCCACTTGTTGTTGGGTGATTCTTTAGTAGTCTTAAACACCAACACAAACAACGTTCATCAGTGGTCCAAAAGCGTTGAACACTTCAAGTTCACCAAAATAATTTTACCAGTCTTTGGTTGTCTCTTACAATGTCTGCACCGATTTCTGAAACATTTCTATTCAGCATGGATCATTTTCGAAGCGCTTTTTGTCAGTCTAGCGAGCTCCTTCGCAAGTTCCTACTCTGTACCCACCATCGCCCCTAATTGTACGAAAGCTGATGTTTGTACTATTCACACTGTAGACCGAAATAGAAAATGAGTCAGAATATTTTACTTGAAACTTGTCGAGTAAAAGCATGTTAATTTCTGCAATTAATCAGCTTATGCAATTCTGCATTTGCGATTACTAACAACGTACGTTCTTTCCATATTTTGAGAGAGGCTTTTGTGTCTTAACTAACCCTGCCCATTTTCACAGGTGTTCGACTCCACTGGACGTTATTTACTGATACTCAACAGCCAACTGGAGCCATTAAATGGACCGTATGGATTGACCTACGACTACATATCGCAGAGGATCCTAGTCACAGACCCGGGTAATTATTGCGTGAAAATTTATGATCCGCAAAGAGTTGTGGGGTTAAGACAAGGACCATCAGAAGTGGCGTGCACTGGAGACAACGGGCAGATGAGCAAATCTGCTTCAGCCTCTTCCTCGTGATCTATCAAATGCGAAATAGGACTCTACACAGGCTGCCCCCTACGATCCCGGCGACGAAGGAGATGGGCACCTGCCAAACAGCCATTTGTGACATCTGATCATCAAGTACACCAGCGCCGTAAACTTCAACCGACTGGCCGGCAATGGCTCATCCTGAAACGAGCTTTATGTACATACATCTAGCCAACTAACTTGCCAGCTTGTTCATGTTACGCGCACGGAACGCACACATCCCGGTCCCACTAACTAATAGAGTTCACAGATGTGGGTCGATATTCCAAATCTGATTCGAGGTAACTATATTTCCAACGCAGTTGTCCTGCGTGCATAAACGACTTCTTTCACGCGTTAGGATTGGGGGATTAAGTTTAAACCGCCTCACCGCACAACACTTATCTGCTACGAGTCCACCACGTAGGGACAAACTTTGTTTACAGACTTCCCATCAATTCTTGTCTTGCACACAAAAAATTTGCGGGGATGTTCAGTCAAAACTAATTTCGCCAGATAACCACTATCTATCGCAACTATGTACCGTGTAAACTAAGATTAGAAAATATGATTGCTTCCAGTGATGCATTTCATGGTGTTTCCCTATTCGCTGGTCACAGTTATTGACCGTCGCTTTGCTAAGCAGTCGTTCAACCGCTGGATTTTTCCCATACAAACGCTCTGTTTCCACTGTGTGAGCAATTAGCGTGTCCGACGCCTTGTTTATGGCGCAGGAAGAAGAAGCGAACCGCTCGCCACCGCTATTGCACGCAGCAGGCTCCGATGGTTGGGTCACATGTTTCGCATGCCAGCCCACCGACTACCGCGACGTGCGTTGTTTGCATGCCGGGGGTGCGGATGGACAAAGAGAAGAGGTGGCTATGACATGACATGGTCAAGGGAAAGGAAAGTCCTAACTTCGAAGTTGACTGCGGTTGGAGCCTCTCGGCTCCCTGCTTGGGGACCGAAGGACGATGAACACGTTTGCTTGGATACAGTTGTTGACGTGGCTAGGAGTAGACATCAGTTGCGTTCATGTTGTAAGTTCCTTTGTCCATCCCCCTTTGCTTAGCTTCCCCCTCCAAGCACCATCTCAATTGATAGATATTATATGACTTTGGCGGCACAATAGCCCCATGTTAGCTCTCCGGAATGATGTCCATCCGTTACTGATGACTCAGCCGGCGTGCCTCTCACATTTTTCTTTCCTTCTGTATTGCTGTACCATAGCTGAGGTATTTTCGACCTGCTGCTAGCGTGCATAATGATGCGAGGATGATTTCCACTGCTTACAGAAGGCATTGGTTCATTTAACGCTTACGCACTGGTTCAATCGAACAGCACATTTCCCATCTTCAATGCAAGTTAATTTGCCTCTCGGTTCAAGGGAGGATATCGTCCACTATGTCAACACTCGTAATGACTTAGTATGGCTGTGATACCAGCACCGGCCCGTCAGACAGCTACTAGAAGAGCCAAGGGATGGGTAAGCAGTATTGTGTTAGGTTGAGTCATAACGATGACCGCAGTGAATCTGGTCCGACAAGTTAATTTTTGCAAACGACTACCACGTGACGTGATGAGCTTTGTCTAACATAAATTCCCGGTGGTTTTGTTTCCGCTATTCGTGATCGACTACTCGTCTCATTCAGCGACACAGAGAAAGAGCAGTGGACGAACTAAACGATTGCAAGATTACACCAAAATCCCCACTACTCATTAGTAGAATTATATGCCGCCTACGTCTACAACCCATCAACACGTGATTCACATTTAGCCTGGCACCGGAACCCAATCCGGAGCCCCTGTAACTTCGTCACTCCACGAGCAGTAGGTCAGCAATTAGACATGGTCGTCGAGACAGATCGCGGAGAACTATTCAGAACATATTATAGAGTGAGGTCCGTATTACTATTCCACGAAATTTCGTGTCTGGATAGATCTGTTTTACCATAGACATGTCAGGCAATCCGGAGAGAAGAGCACTGACCGTGTCAGTGGAACAATGATGGATTTTGTACAGCTAAACGGACAGTTGGGTCCCATACCACAAGAATCGGCAGAAAACTGTGTTCTACTTGGTGTCCTTTGAGACGCCCCTTACAGTAACCATAGCTATGCTCACTTATTCGCAATGACTTCCGCGCAGCCATTTGGTTGCCGGTATCCTATGAAAGTGAAATTTACAGAGATATTTGGAAGTGCCATAATCCATGTGATACAAGGCATCGAAAGCAGTGTTATACCCAACCGTATTTTTACAAGCCCAGGTGGTTTTTTAAGCACCGAACTTTTGGCTGAGGGCGATCAATCCCGATGGCACTCTGATTAACTTTAATGTTCATGGGCGCACGAGTCAGGAGACCGACTACCATTTCTGAGGGCAAATAATATCCGAAACACCAATGGGTAGTGCGATAGATTGGTAAATAAAAAGTACGCTTGGAATGTGCAGTAGCCCAAATTTTACAGTGCGGTAGCACTACAATACAAACAGAAGTTAGTCCACACTCTTTCTTTCCAGATGTGCAGTAGTTGCACACGAGGCAGCACTACCGAGAAACACCAGAGGATCAACGATACCCTAAAAGCACATAGGTATCCAGAAAGATTCCTCTTTTAGCATCTGAAAGAACGTAAGAGAAATTCACTGAGCATTTTGTGCATTTCGCATTCAAAGACGATATTGTCACTGATACCCAGTCTTAATACTCGAGAGCCGCTGTTAGCAGCACTATTTCGCCACCCGCCTAACTATGGTGCACTATGACACGCATTTACTAGCAAAACATTTGAAGAATAGACTGCCTCGGTTGACGCGACCAATGCTTGTCTATCAGTGGTATGTCTCCTGTGGTACACGATACGTGGGTAGTACTACAAGACACCTAACTCACAGGATTCCTCGGCACATCCCTAATCAGGTCAATGGAGAGGAATATAGGTCCTCTAATAGCTATAGCGTAGCGCAACTCCTCGACTGCAGTCGTACAAACGCTGAAAACAATCGCAGTTCTCTAATTCTTTCCTGACCGGTCCTCGCGAGGATACAGGGCACATCTATTATATGTTGCTATACATGCGCCAACTCAAGTTTGAGCTGTGCGTATGAAACTAGTTTGTATGCACCCTGTACTTCTAATGTGACCTACAGATACCGTTACATACTCATTTAAACGGTACTCCTGTTAACCTTTGATAGGTTATGAGAATGATGTAGCTGCGTACCCTCTTGTTTGTAACGTACTCCTTTCGGTGACCACGTAATGTTTCGAATCGGCAGTCTAAACAATATTCGGCCCAAATCGGCAGATCTAGCATGTACTGTCTACTACGTAAACATGTGTCTGATGACAATATCACCGAAAAGAATTTTTTACTCACTGCTAACCTCTCAGTTTGATTCATGCTATTAGACGGAAGTTTCCAATTGCTGATGAACAATGAACAATGAACAATGATTTATCACGGGATAAAAGCAAGTGCTTGACACGTCCCGTAGGATGGTTGAGGTGAATATGATGAAATCAAAATATGTCTGGGTCATCTACCGAACGTCTGCCGAGATGAATAGTTTGATAATTAAACATCAGTGTAAAATGAAAAAGAAATATCGCGCGTAAACATTCAGAAAGACACTGGGGCGCAGTGATAGTTGAGGTAAGCAGTGAGAAAATAAAATATGGTCGCTCACTTAGGTCCATTTGATACATTAGTCCTGTTGAAAACATGCTTGGCGTAATCCACAACAGAGGAGCTTAGGTAACAAAATGTTGGGAGCTAAGAGCAACATCTAACCGTTTTTTGAAAACATCCAGGGTAGGAGAGGATACTACGGAGTCTGGGAGTGCGTTCCATGGTTTGCAGACCAGAAGGAAAAAGTAATTCCGTCGACACTCTAGACGGCTATATTGTTCCTTCAACTTTAAGCAGTTACCCCTGAGCTGCGTGTTGTGGCTAAGTTTCAGCAAATGGCAGCATATGTGGTTGGGGTCACTCAATATTTGATACGCTATGAGATCACCGCGCAGTCTTCGATAGCGCCCGCTGAAAATTCCCAGCAACTTCAGCCTTCGGTGGTCAGAGTGATAGCGCAGGCCCTTCACATTTTTTGTTGCTCTCCGTTGTGGTACCTCTATCGCTTCTAGGTCCCGCTTCAACCAAGGTTGCCAAGCTTGGATAGCGTATTCAACATGCGGGCGCACGTAGGAATTGTGCATCATTGGGTAGATTGATGGTTCAAATCTTCCTAATGCTCTTCGCAACATGTCGACATGCTGGTTGCCTCTTTTCGCAGCAACCTCAGCCTGTATTGAACAGTTGAGGTCGCTCTGTACGATCACACCTAGGTCACGTTCCTGGGAGCTATTCTGCAGTCCTTTGGTCCCAAGTGAATAGGTGTAGTTATGACGATGGCGTAATTGTACGACGAGACATTTGTCTACATTGAACGGTAGCGCGTTTTGAACTGACCAGTTCGACACTGTGTTAAGATCGTGCTGAAGCCGTGCATGGTCATCCGGTCCTCTGATCCTTCGCCATATCTTGATATCATCAGTGAAAAATAAGAAATCGGAAGTAATTGATTTCGCCAAATCGTTAATGAACACCAAGAATAGACGAGGTCCAAGAACCGAGCCTTGTGGTACTCCACACGTCATGTCTATTGCATGAGAAAATGATTCTCGGACTCTCACCACTAGCCGTCGTTCTTGTAGAAAATTGTCAATCCAAATCAGGATTGGATCGCCAATGCCGTAGTTCCGAAGCTTCTGAAGGAGAACTCGATGGTCTAAACGATCAAACGCTTTTGAAAAGTCAAGGTAGATGACATCGACTCCAACTCCATCATCAACAGCTTCAGTCCAGCTATTACGTGCAATTAATAGGTTAGTATTACACGAATGCTTTTGACGAAAGCCATGTTGCTCTGGGACTATTAAATTGTGGCTTTCCAAATATTGCGTCAGCGCGTCTGCGACGATTGATTCCATCACTTTGGATAGTAAGGGAAGTAGTGTTATTGGACGGTAGTTGGCAGGGTCAGTGCGGCTACCTCCTTTATGGATAGGAGTGATGACCCCTCGCTTCCATACTGGTAGAATACGGTTCTCCTCTAGACATCGCTGATAGAAAACAGCCAGTGGTTCCGCTAGATCACTAGCTACTGCCTGTAGAGCCTTTGGTCGGATGTTATCAGCTCCGGGAGAACTGTGGATACGCACGGATAACAACTTCTTCAACACAGCCTCCGTAGCGAAGGTGATGTTTTCTAAACCAGATGGTGGAGTATTAGAAATGAGGTGAATGTTTGGGCTGGACACTTGTTGGAACGT